TTCAGTGATTAGTAAAGAGCTTGGAAATCTGTGGCGAAGTGTGCCACGTGGCTACAAAAATCTCTTTGATGATGAGGCGGCCAGGCTGGTGCGTATCCACCTCGAAGAATTCCCCAACTACAAGTACCAACCAAAAAAGAAGCTCTCCAGTCTGCTTTCAAGCAGCACCGGTATCCACTCTAACACCTCTGCCAACTCTGGCAACTCTGTACTACACTCGAGCTTCGCGCACCTTAACGGACAGTCTGTCTGCTCTGGCGGTTTCTTAACGACTTTGAGCTCCAATCTAGCTTCCACGAATACTTCATCCACATCTTCCTCTTCAGCAAGCTCTCCATCCGCCAACCATACGGAAGGGACTGGCTTTCTCGAGCTCTCTGCAACTTCCGTTGCTGGTGATTCTGCAGGAACTTCTCTAAGACCCTCGATGGGACTCGGCATTCTCTCTCAGGTGCCTGGTTCCTTGACAGTGCGTTCAGTGAACCGAGTTAATCTGATATCAGAGGCCTCGTCAGGCTTATGCGGTCCTGGTGGTATTCACCGACTTCCATTATCCGGTTCTCTGGTCTCATCGACTTCTCCTGCCTATTCGTCAATATCTTTTTCCCCATTCTCATCATCTTCATCGTCTTCATCTTCATCTTCATCTTCTTCTTCTGCATGTTCCTCTGCTTCATCTATGTGCTCCTCATCCATACCTTTCTCCTCTCCTTCGTCGGTCTCCTCAACACTCGCCAGTCTTATCGCCACTTCAGCCCCTACTTCTGTTGCTGCTCTTTTCACCACTTCTTCGTCCACTGCACCCGTCTCATCTTCGCTTTCAGAGACTCACCAGTCAAGTCTGTCGGCTGCCTCCCAGCATAGTCTACAGCTGCAGTTACAAGCGACGGCAGCGACGCCGACGTCAGCTGAGATGGGGGTCACTGTGTCCACAGCTCCCGTTATCAACCAACAGCAGCTGCGCTACCGACGCTTCAGTCAGACCAGCGCAGGAGGTATGGCTTTAATAAGCATATTTGCACTTAATCATGCCTGTTCTCATTCTATTATCTAATTCCACACATCATTAGTCTAACACTCAAGTTTCTCAATCTCTCGGGCAAATAGTGACGAAAACAATATTTGCAGAACGTTCGGTAGAATCGAATAAATAGGGTGACTCTTCAAAAGGGACTTCAAAGTTAGTAAATTTATAAGCTCCAGGAT